TTCATAGTTTTAATCTTTTTTTTTTTTTGAGATGGAGTTTCACTCTTGTCCTCCAGCCTGGAGTTGGTGGTGTGATCTCGGCTCACTGCAACCTCCACCTCCTGGGTTAAAGTGAGTCTCCTGCCTCAGCTTCCTAAGTAGCTGGAACTACAGGTGCCTGCCACCATGCCCAGCTAATTTTTGTATTTTTAGAAGAGACAAGGTTTCACCATGTTGGCCAGGCTGGTCTTCAACTCCTGACCTCAGGTGATCCACCCGCCTTGGCCTCCCAAAGTGCTAGGAATATAGGCATGGGCCACCGCACCGGCCTTTTTTGTTTTTTAAGAGCTGTCCCTCCCTCACTGTATGAACATCAGGCCTCACAAACCCTGACTCTGTTCTTGGCATGTGTATATCTAGATCCACAGCTATATCTGTGCCTTCCTTTCATATCTGTGCTTCAGGAACTTCCCTTTCTGGAGAAGAGACACAGCAAGGAATATGTTCAGTATTTTGGGGTGTCGCATTTTTATCTTTATCCTGGGACAATCAGGGAGATGGAGACTGGGAGATTGGCAGGGGTGGCCAGGCATGAGGCTGGGGCGTGGCAGCACTCACTGTGGGGGCGCGTCTCTGTGCCTGTGTGTGTGCATTTGAGTCTGGCACTGTGGGTGTGTGCCTGTAGCTGTGGGCTCTGTGTCTCCCTCCATCTGTGCAGCTGAGGGAGCACCCCAGAGTGTGTGCTGAGTTTGTCATTGGCCATGGTGTGGACTTATGAGTTCCGCTGGGGCCAGTCCTTGTAGTTGAAGCAAACTGCTTATTGCCAGGAGCCTAGAGTGGGGACTGGGGCTTCTAATAGGCGCTCTAGCAGTGCAGTGATTTCTCATCCCCTTGGCCACCAGTTTGGTATAGATGGTAGGCAGAGATAGCCAAGGGTGAGTATCAGGTTTCCATAGTGACAGGATATGTGCATGTCCCAGGTCAACAAGACCTTTGCAGACAGTACTGGGGACAGGAGGAAGCGTTATTTTTCAACCCCACTCACTCCTCTTTCAGAGCTGGCTCACAAGGGCTGGAGGAATCTCCAACATTGCTCAGAACATCAGTAGTCATTCTCTGCTTACCTGCAACCTCCAGACCCACTCACCAGGGTTTTCCACCCTGCTCAGTGCTCCCCCACAAAGCGGACCCCCATGGATGCCATCACTGAGGCTTCCTTGATCTTGGGGTTCCAGTTTGATCCAGCCAATGGGAAGTGCCAGCAGGGCACAGGAGGCTGGGAGGAGAGCAAATGTGGGGTATTCTCCCCAAGTATCCCCAGTTTTGGCAGTGACTGTGTGGCCTCAAACCTCCTCTCAGGCTTCCAGGTGACCCATAGCTAGCTATTCTCACTGGTTCCAGGAAACCACTCCCCCTCCTCCATTCAGGTTTAGGGGTGAGAGCTCCTTCCCCTCTGTTGCCAATTCAGGTGCTGCGCCATCTCCTGTTGGTCTCCTCAACCTCGCCCACATCTCAGGTAAATGGCCCCTTCACTAAACTTTTTTCAGTAAACCCTGTAGAGTGAGACCTCTCTTTCTTGCTGGGGCCCTCCTGGTGCACAGAGTTACATAGAAACACAACTCATGTTTCCTTGAGAAAATATATTTTCTTATATTTCCTTTATTGCTTCTTGAATACAAGCTTCTGGCCTCCAGGACTTTGAACTTGCAGTATCTTTTGGTTGTTTTAAGAAATCATCTCTTCACCAATAAAACAAACAAAACATGTTTTACATATTTAGCCAAGCTTGGCACTCATTAAGCGCATAACATACTAGCTAACATTACTGTTATTGTTGCTGTTGTGTTAAATGGGTACAAAATCACAGGGTCTTGGAATGGAAATGGAGGTGCTCCCTTGAATTGAAAGGGACATGGTTTTAATATTGTAATAAGATGTCTTGGGCTGGGTGCAGTGGCTCACACCTCTAATCCCAGCACTTTGGGAGGCTGAGGCAGATG